GAGGACAGGATCGGAGAAACTGCTGACAGGTTCAAGGTATCCAATGATGCAGTGGCTCACATCGAAAACATCACCACCTATTGAACAATATTTTATTCAAAAGTACGGACTGAGATTTTGTCCTTAACTGTCCAAGTCAAGCTACTTGGGCTGAATTCGTTGATCAGTCCTAGGACGAATATTACCAACGGCGTGAATAGATTCCGTGGAATAAATTCAGGGCATTCCCGTCCAGGGAGCCTCAACAAACTCTGTAAATATTGCCATTGGCCTGCCATTGGCACATATACGGAGTTTGGTAATGTTCCATGAGCGGGAATGTCCTGAATTCATTCCACGGAATCTATCCACGCCGTTGGTAATATTGGGCCCTGGTTTTCGAAATATACGTATGTGGTGACTTGCAGCAAAAATATCGGCATAATTTGTAGCGCATTGAGTTGTAAAACAATAGCATATTATGAACCAGTGTACACAGTAGTCGAATAATCCAATTCAATAACTTGATTTTAACAGGTTGTGCCACATTGCCAGTCCCTTTATTATTTACAGTTTTTTCGCGTTTTTCATGCCAAACCCAAAAGTATCCACAAACCTTCTAATGCAATGATGTAAAAAACTCAAACATATTCGGAATTAGCGTGGCCGATAGACAAATAATCCAACCCAAGCAATTAGATTTTGAAAACTTTTGCAAAACTGTCACTCCCTACTGTATAGTAGGGGTGTGATAGCTGTTTTGGTATTATATTAATTGTTTTAATTAAGTTCTGGAACTCTTTAAGTGGCTAGGTTTGATGTAAACATTTCTTAAGGCTTTTCCTTTATTGTCGAAGCAGCTATATACACAGACATAATCTAAGATAACAAATTATGAATTCTCTCCAGAGAAGTTTTGTGAATACACTTTGAGAGAACACTTGAGTTACTTGTTCTTCCCTGTTTAAGTGGTAAGGATCTATTCCCTTGTCTGGGCGTGAGAGAGCTAGCCGGTTGTTTGATTAATCAGCTGACCTGCGTTTGACCTCTGAGACTGTTACAAGCTCAGCCGTCTATTGTTGTCAACAGGTTGAGTCATTGCTGACTAACTTGGTGAATAAGTTTGTGTTATTCATTTGGGTGAATATTTGTATAAGGCAAAGGTGTTGTTACCGGGGTACTCAATTACTGTATGTGAAGGTCCAGTCGCAAATCTTCTAGATGGCCAAGGTCCGGATGAGATTTCATTTAATATGAGGCAATAACAAACAAATGAAGAGCACACATTTTAGTTGATTTCCATCTGCATGCATCTATAATCTCAAAATATATTGACACTGCAAATAAATTAAAGAAATAAACAAGAGCCCATGGATAAAAAGAAGCCATAAAAGAAACCATCCATCCATCTGGCTAAAGAGGCAACCTGGAAAAGAGGAGATGAAGAAAAGGAAAAAATATTATCTGTAACGCTATAAAACACTTCAGGTAAGGTATGTTTTTGTGGTCAAAAGTTACCATGCATTCTACTCTTGTTGAAGAAGGAAGAATGATGAGAGAAAATAAATAAATTAAATCTCTTTAGCACACGCACACAAAAAAAGCAATTATAGAATGTACAGTCTGGTTCAAAAGTAATAATTCATCCTTCTTTGTTGAAGAAGAAAAGGGGAATGATTAGTTTAGACCCCTGAGTGTACATGCAATTATAATTTCATGTACAGAGTCATAATTATGACTGTGGGCCTTTAATTGAGTTATCAAACATAATTAGGGAGAAAAGTGACACTTCGTGCTTCTTGCCAATTTCCTGAACTTTAGTACAAATGATGTTGTAGTGGACGTCTCCCCTACAACTGCCTAACTGCGTAGCCACGACACCACCTGTTACCGTCTTCCCTAGCAACCAAGCGTATCCGGGGTCACCATTGTAGGGGTATCGAGATATTAATGTTGTCTAGCACTCAGGATGGAAGGAAACTCTAATGTGGTTTTCTTGTATAATATATAAGTTATATGATAGACAGTCTGGTGCTGGAGGTGCTGTGTGGTGAGGGGCTGCTTGGTAGAGACGTTCGGTGAGTGGCTTGTTGAAGGAGGTAGATGTGCAGGAGCTTCGTTAGAGAAGATGTTGCCTGTTGCTGGCCTCCTGGTTGAATGAATGCTGGACAGCTAGGAGCTTGCTGGGAGGAGGTGTTGCGTGTTCAGGAAAATGGGCAGAATGAGAGTTGGTTGGTGAGGAAGCTCAGAGAAGGGCATGCTCGCTGGCGGGAGCGAGGACCGTCAGGCAGGCGGAGGAGAGGCGAGGGTCGCCAGGCAGCGGCAGAGGAGGAGGTGTTGCTTGTTCAAGAAGATTGGTCAGACTGAATCTCAAGGGAGAGACAGAGCTTATATACACCCAGCAGCGGCTATGAGTCATGGTGGGAAAACCCGAGAAGTAGCCGGTGACTAGTTCCGTTGCTAAGATACGGCGGGCATTGGAATGAGGATATGCTTGGTTGCTAGGGAAGACCGTAACAGGTGGTGGCGTGGCTACGCAGTTAGGCAGTTGTAGGGGAGACGTCCACTACAATGTGATAGCTGGTCTAAGACAATGATGAAGGTGTTCATTGGTGATGCTGGAGCGGTTATTTGTTCTTCACTAAATTGATGGTGGAGAAGGCAGGCTCACAGTGGTAAGTAGAGCCAAACATTGTGAGGATATGCAATGCGACTTTGTGAAAAGGAGGGATCTAACTTGAGACACCTTCTGTGTCCTGAATGTGACGATATTGCAGTCCTTAACCTCTTCTCTCAAGGCCACATTTTTTTGGAAATCAATTAGTTCCATTTGGAATGATGCTGCACATATCCATTTGAATATCTGCGCATAAAAGAAAATAAAGTTCTTCTCTTGAGAGAGAGAGGAGAGAGAGAACATAAGAAAATAGGAGTCTGCACAGGCGGTTGGCCTATGCATGGCAGCTCCTGTCGAGAGTTACTACCACTCTCTATCATCCATGAATCTATTTAGCCTTTTGAAACTTCCCAGCGTTCCAGACTACAAAATTGTAAGCTGTCACTTTGTCACCACCCTATTTGTGAACCAGTTCCTTCCTATCTCCTCCTAAACCTAAACTTATCCAATTAAATCCGTTGCCCGAGTCCTATCCTGTATTATAAGAACTTTATCTATATGCCCTTTGATGATTCCTTTCACCCACTTAAATACTTCTATCATATCTCCCACTCTTCGTCTTTCTAGGAATGCAAGTTTAGTTTCTTTAACCTATCCTGATATGGAAGGTTTCTAAGTCCCGAAATCATTTGCGTCATTCTTCCTTCACCGACTCTAGTGAATTGATATCCATTCTATAATAAGGGCACCAGAACTGAAGCATAATCGAGGTGCGACTAGAAAAGATAGTTGCAATAAGACCTCTGCACTCTTGTTACTTACACTTCTAGATATAAAACCCAATACTCTGTTTTCCTTGAACATTAACGACTGTTTTTCAGGCCAGAGGTCCGTCTTACAAGTACCCTAGATCTCTTCTACAAGTCGACTTCTCAAGGTTGATGTTGTTAAGGCTGTATGCATTGACAGTATATATATATATATATATATATATATATATATATATATATATATATATATATATATATATATATATAAATATATAAATATATATAAATATATAAATATATATATATATATATATATATATATATATATATATATATATATATATATAAATATATATATATAAATATATATATATATATATATATATATATATATATATATATATATATATATAAATATATATATGTTAGCGGAGAGAAAAGGAGAGAAGAGAAACGAAATGCTATGCTTAGCGAGGGTAGATGCAGTTTTTAGAACAATTTTTAAGGGGGTCGTATGCATGTTTTCTCAGCACATGAGGACAGTGCTGTCTTTAGGGGGTCGATTGTAATATTCAGAAATTTCAGAGTAATTTCAAATGCCCGCCATTAAGTATCAATTGAGCGTCAAGGTCATAGGAAGAGAGCGCCTGCTCTAGCGAGCGTAGGCATAAGCTAAGCAGCGGGGAAGGGGCGCGGCAGCTGGCTTGCCCTCGGTGCGAGGAGCATTCACACAGACAAAGAGCGTCCCTGGCGATCCGTCACGAAACCAGATCCGGCTGGCCTGGTCTGCTGCGCTATTGCAAGCCATAACAAGTAAGTCATTCGATCTCAGCCAGGGTTAGATAGGGCGGTGGTAAAAGCAAACTAGAAGCTAATAGCGAGTTCATTTCAGGGTTCCGTCAGAACCCACTTGACGAGTTGACGGAGTTGACTGCGAAGATTGACTGCCCGTTTGAGACTGCCGTTGATGATGAAGATTGAGGGTGGCGATTGTCGCCATTGGACCGATCAGTGGGCTATCACTGTTTAGCGAGGTAGCAAAGGATCTCTTGGTGAACAATGCTCCCAAACAAAAAAACGACACCCAGGACCAGCATCAGCAGTGGGTGATCAGTTCTTACCACTAAGATTGCACAACACACCACGTGTCTCGGTCAGCAAGTGTTACCTACTGGCCATAGACACCTGTGGCGTTCTCTCTTACCCATGGACGCACTGGGGTACGCGAAGTTTATCATAATTAGAATTAATGGTCACACTGAGACCGTGAAGTCTGGGCTCAAGAATACCCCTAGAGGAACATTTATCTCTCCCTTATTCTGGGTGTAATTAATACCATTTCTCGAACTGATATTATCTTGGCGATGTGTAGTTTAATAGTTCTAAATAATTTTAGTAGTACTGTTTTTGAATGTTTGTGTCATTAAAGAGTGAGACCAAGTGATACCATGATTTGATTCTTTTTCTTGACCATCTAATTTTTCTCTCCATAATTCTGATACTCAGGTATAACTTTGTTCCCCGAGTAGTGTTTAAGTTGAGTTAGGAAGAGTGCATCCCACATTGACGTTCCTTCACAACTAAAAACCTGGAACGTCAATGTGGCATTTAAAAACTCATTTCATTTAGTCTATGCCTATATCAAGATAAAAGTCACCCCTGATTTAGCTACCTGAGTGTGATGGACAATGATAACTTTGAGGATTTGATATTGACATAAACTTACAGACAAGAGTTCCTAATGATTATGTGATGTTGGTTATGATGTGGAATATACTGAAAGTGCTATAACATGTTCACTGGTGCCTGTAGCAGAGAACAATGAAGGTGACACCAAAGATAAACACGATAGTGGGGAAGATGATGATCCTGTATACTGCCAGGAATTTGGGGGACGTTGCAACACTGGAAGGGTGAGTGTTCTCCGAGACAATTGGGTCCACTACCGTTAAGGGTTTACTCACTCTCCTGAACCACGTGTCGTCCGTCGTCAACGTTATAAAAATGTGTATCATAATGTTTATGAAGAGAAGAACAATAATGAATAAGAACCAAACGTCAATGAGTTTGATAGTCGCGGTGGCAGGGAGGGTGCGCGAGGTGTTGGAGAAGAGGGTGTAGAGGACGAGGAGTGTGGTGAGGGACATGATGGCCCGCACGTTGAGGGCCTCCAGCTTGATGAAGAGTGTGGCCCAGCTCACCAGCAGCAGCAGTACTGACGGCAGGAAGGTGGCCAGCACGATCACTCCCTGACGACGGTGCAGCTCAAACTCAACGGTTAACCAACCACCGTCCTTAACCTCCCCGAGCCTCACATTGTAGATAATATACGAAGAGAGCTCTTTAGGTCCCGCATAAAGCACACTCCTCTGGGTGTCTGAAAACTGTACATAATCTTCATACGCTTGAGGGAGTCGGATGTTGATACTACACAGCTGGACGTCAAACGGATAGGCGTAGAGCTCGAAAGCACAGATGAACTTGCCGGTGTACTGACGGGTTTGAGTGAGAGGGTTGTGGCTGCCCGGGTAACTCACATCTGGTCACAACAAAGAAGAGTACTGTCAGCCATCCTCCTGCAAGCCATTTTCCTGTCAGCCATCCACCTGTCAGTCATCCTGCTGGTATCCTTCCTCCTGTCAGCCATCCTTCAGTCAGCCATCCTCCTGTCAGCCATTCAGCTGGTATCCTTCCTCCTGTCAGCCATTCAGCTGGTATCCTTCCTCCTGTCAGCCATCCTCCTGTCAGCCATCCTCCTGTCAGCCATCCTGCTGGTATCCTTCGTCCTGTCAGCCATCCTCCTGTCAGCCATCCAGCTGGTATCCTTCCTCCTGTCAGCCATCCTCCTGTCAGCCATCCTCCTGTCAGCCATCCTCCTGCCAGCCATCCTCCTGCCAGCTATCCTCCTGTCAGCCATTCTCCTGCCAGCCATCCTCCTGTCAGCCATCCTCCTACCAGCCATCCTCCTGTCAGCTATACTTCTGTCAGCCATCCTCCTGTCAGCTATCCTTCTGTCAGTCATCCTCCTGTCAGCCATACTCCTGTCAGCCATCCTCCTGTCAGGCATCCTCCTGTCAGCCATCTTCCTGTCAGCCATCCTCATTTCATCCGTCCTTCTGTCATCCATCCTTCTGTCACTCGTCCTCCTGCCATCCGACCTCCTGTCATCCATCCTTCTATCATCCGTCCTCCTGTCATCCGTCTTCCTGTCATCCATCCTTCTGTCATCCATCTTTCTATCATCCTTTCTCCTGTCATCCGTCTCTTGACATCCATCCCCCTATCACCCTTTCTCCTGTCCTCCGTCCTCTTGTATTCCATCCTCCTGTCATCCACCATTCTGACATCCATCTTTCTGTCATTCTTCCTTCCATCATCCAACCTCATGTCATAAATCCTTTTGCCATCCGTTCTCTTGTCATCGATGCACCCATCCTAATTTCATCCATCCTCCTGTAATCCTTCTTCCTGCCAGCAATCCTCTTTTCGTCTTTACTCCTGTTATCCATTCTTCTAACATCCATCCTCCTGTTTTCCGTCTTCCCGTCATCCATCCTCCTGTCATCCATCCTACTGTCATCCTTCCTCTTATCGTCCTTCTTCCTGTCATCCGTCCATCCAGTCATCCATCCTCCTGTCATCCGTTATTCTCAGCCATCTTCCTGTCATTAATCATCCTGTCATCCATCCTCTTGTCATCCATCCTCATGACATCCATCCTCCTATCATCCTTTCTCCTGTCATCCTTCTTCCTATCATCCGTCCTCCTGGCATCCATCCTCCTGCCATCCGTTATTCTCAGCCATCTTCCTGTCATTAATCATCCTGTCATCCATCCTCTTGTCATCCATCCTCCTTTTATTCATTCAATTGCCATCCGCCCTCTTGTCATCTGTTCTCCTCTCCTCCATCTACCTGTCATCAATTCTCCCTTCATCCACCCTCATGTCTTCCATTATGTCATACAACCTCCTGTCATCCATCCTGTCATTCATTCTCCTGTTATCCTTCTTCCTGCCATCCATCCTCCTCTCATCCGCCCTCCTGTTATTCATTCTACTTTCATCTGTCCTTCTTTCATCCATCCTCCTTTCATCCTATTTCCTGTCATCCATCCTCCTGTCCTCCATCCTCCTATCACCCATCTCCTCTCATCCGTCCTCCTGTTATTCATTCTACTTTCATCCGTCCTTCTGTCATCCATCATCCTATCATCCGTCCTCCCGGCATCCATCCTCCTGTCATCCGTCCTCTTGTCATCCGTCCTCTTTTCATCCATCCTCCTATCATCCTTTCTCCTGTCATCCTTCTTCCTGTCATCCATCCTCCTGTCATCCATCCTCCTGTCATCGGTCCAATTATCATCCGTCCTCTTATCACCCATCCTTCTACCATCCGTCCGCCTATCATCCATCCCCCTGTCATTCTCTCTTCTGTCATCCGTCCTTCTGTCATCCTCCATTCTATCATCCAATCTCATGTCATCCATCCTCCTCTCGTCCATCCTTTGCCTTCCATCATCCTGTCATGCGTCCTCCTTTTATCCATCGTCCTTTCATCAATTCTCCCTTCACCCATCCCCATGGCATCCATTTCCATATCATACAACCTCCTGCCAGTCCTCTTCCTGTCAGTCTCTCTCCTGCCATCCATCTTCTTGTCATCCATCCTTCTACCATCCTTTCTCCTATCAACCTTCTTCCTGTCATCCAACCCCCTGCCATCCATCCTCCTGTCATTCTCTCTCCTGTCATCCATCCTCCTGCCATACATCCTCTTGTCATTCTCTCTCCTGTCATCCATCCTTCTGCCATCCTTTATTCTATCATCCAATCTCATGTCATCCATCCTCATGTCGTCCATCCTTTGTCATCCATCCTCTTGTCATCCATCCTCCTGTCATCCATCCTCAAATCATCTGTTATCATGTCATCCATCTTCCTGGCATCCATCCTCATGTTTCCGTCCTTCTGTCTTTCATCCTCCTGTCATTAATTCTCCTGTCATTCCAAATCTAGCTCCATTTCGTCAATCCTCATGTCATCTATTCATCCATCCTCCTGTCATCCGTCCTCCTTTCATTTTATTTCCTGTCATCCACCCTCCTATCATCCATCATCCTCTCATCCGTCCTCCTGTTATTCATTCTACTTTCATCCGTCTTCTTGTCATCCATCCTCCTGTCATCCATCCTCCTGTCATCCATCCTCCTGTCATCCATCATCCTGTCATCTAAACCTGCTGCCATCCGTCGTCTTATTATCCTACTTCCTGTCATCCATCCTCCTCTCATTCTCTCCTTTTATCCTCTGTCATCCACCCTTTTGCCATCCTTCATTCTATCATCCAATCTCTGTCATGCATCCTCCTTTCATCCATCCTCTTGTCATCCTTTCTCCTGTCATTCTTCTTCCTGTCATCCATCCTCTTGTTCTCCATTCACTTGTCATCCATCCTTCTGTCATCCAAACCTCCTGTAATCCATCCTCCTATCATCTGTCCTCTTATCACCCGTCCTCTTGTCATCCATCCTCCTGTCATCAGTACAATTATCATCCTTTCTCCTGTCATCCACCCTCCTGTCATCTATCCTCCTGTCATCCATGCTTGTGCCATTTATCCCTCAACCATCCATCCTCCTGTCATCCAAACCTCCTGCCTTCCATAGTCCTGTCATGCAACCTTCTGTCATACATCCTCCTTTCATCCAAACCTCCTGTCATCCATCCTCCTGTCATCCAAACCTCTTGTCATTCGTGATCTTATCATCCTTCTTGCTGTCATCCATCCTCCTCTCATTATCTCTTATTATCTATCCTTCTGTCAACCATCCTTTTTCATCCTTCATTCTATCATCCAATCTCTTGTCATCCATCCTCCTGCAATCCATCCTTTTTTATCCATCTTCTTGTTCTCCATCCTCCTGTCATCCATCCTCTTGTTCTCCATACTTCTGTCATCCATCCTCTTGTCACCCATCCCCCTATCATCCTTTCTCTTGCCATTCGGTGTCTTATCATCCATCCTTCTGTCATACAACCTTCTGTCATCCTTCCATCATCCAACCTCCTGTCATCCATCCTCCTATCATCCTTTCTTCTATCATCCGTCATCTTGTCATCGATTCACCCATCATTATTTCATCCATCCTCCTGGTATTCTTGCTCCTGTCATCTATTCTTCTATCATCCATCCTCCTGTCATATCTCCTCCTATCATCCATGCCCCTGTCATCTATTTTTCAGGTCTCCATCCTCCTGTCAGCCATCCTCCTTTCATCCATCATGTCATCCATTCTCATGTCATTCATCCTCCTGCCATCCGTCCGCCTGTCATCCGTCCCCCTGTCATCCTTTTTCCTCTCATCCGTCCTCCTTCCATCGATCCTTCTGTCATCCGTCTTCCTTTCATTCATCATCCTGTCATTAACCCGCCTGTCATCCATCTTCCTGCCATCCTTCTTACTATCACCCAGCCTCTTGTCATCCATCCTCCTATCATCCATCCTCCTGTCATCCGTACTTCTTTCATCCATCCTTCTTGCATCAATCCTCATGTCATCCGTTATCATGTCATCCATCTTCCTCTCATCTATCCTCCTGTCATCCATCTTCTTGTCAATAATCCTACTGTCACTAATCCTCCTCTCATCCTTCCATCCTCATGTCATCCATTCAACCATCCTCTTCTCATCCATCCTCCTGCCATACAATCTTCCGTCATCCGTCGTGTCATTCATTCATCCAGCCTCCTGTCATCCAGCCTTCTGTCATTCAACCTCCTGTAATCCATCCTCTTGTCATCCATTCTCTTGTCATCCATTCATCCAACCTCCTGTCATCCATCCTCATGTCGCCTTTCTCCTATCATCCATCCTCATGTCATCCATCCTCAATGATTTAGAGTTAACAGAATTGTGAGCTAATTTCATCCTGGTCCTTGTTATTCAAGAAGACAATTTTTTCTCATTCTTTTTATTCATTTATTTCTGTTTGAAATATTACCATTACAAGACGACGACGATGTGTGAGTATGCGTGTGTGTGTATGTGTGTGTGTGTGTGTGTGTGTGTGTGTGTGTGTGTGTATATACGTACCCATAATGACGTCATTGTGGTGCGGGAAGGTGACGTTGTTGGTTGTGGTGAGCGCCACTGCCTGGGCCAACACTTGCACCTGGCCTCCCTCAACGTTCACCAGCTGGTACTGAGGCGTCCAGATCCTCGCCACTTCCTCCTCTCCTAACACGGTGTTCTTCTTCTTTGTTATAAGATGGCGGAAGTTTAATCTTCCATCCTTCCATGATAAAGCTATGTGGAACTCGATAGCAAAAGTCATTTTGATGTCGTTTATGTCAGTAAAACGTGAGAGAGTAACAGAGGGCGAAAGTTTAAGAAGTGACCCCTCAGCCTCCACTGGTGGAAGATGGCGGCGGTACCCTCTGTTTAAGACGATAATCTCGCAGTCGTCTTCATCGTCTCCGTCATCACAGTCGTAGCGAAGGTCACAGCGGAGCTGGGAGTCGACACAGTCACCTGAGGCACACATAAACTGGTGTGAGGCGCACGGCGACAAGCTGAGGGTGATGTTGGCGCCATGACCTTTCCCACACACCGTCTCCTCTGTCACCCAGTGTTGGTGGCCCAACGGGTAGCTCCTAGTGTCTGGGATGTCTACCCACGCCAGGGTGGAGTTTACTGAGGGAATTATCAGTAACCATCTGTGCTTTACCTCATCCCACATTATGGCTCGATCATAAAATCCACGGAATAATGGTCGTCCTCCCAGGTAACCTTCAACTCGAAATCGAGTCTCATGTTCACTCTGGAAACATAGACCTCTGAGGTAGAGGTAATCAGATCTCCTGTGGTGGCATGCAGCGCATTTATAGTTGCTGCATATTTCGTCACCCCAGAAACCATCTTCGAACAAGGACGCGCAGTTGAGGGCTGTCCCTCCGAAAGGGTATGGTGGCTTAAAGTTGGTGAATGTTATTTCTGTGTTGGTGCTCACATCCACCCAGACTCCTTCTTCCTCTTCGTCAACGATGCCAAGCCACATCTTCCACACGCTATTGCTACAAGTGTCAGAGAAGAGCGAGAGTGTGTCGAGCAGGTGGGCGTTCTCCAGGGTGGTAGTTGGCACAGCCGTCTTCGCACCTAATGAGCGGCACTGCTTGAACGTCTCGGCCGCTGTCCTGTGTTCTGGCATCACCACGTAGTACGGCTGTGACCTGGCAGTGCATGGTAAAGACCAACAAATGCTTCAAGACCACTTTGGATGCAATATTCTTCACTACTGTCTTGTACATCAATATAAACTTTATATTTGAATATTACATTAACAGGTAGTGAAATACAGTAACAAATATCACGAACCTGCAGAGGTCTCCCACATCCATCATGACTTCGACAACAGGTCCAAACAGCTCCAGGGGGGACGTGTCCAGACTGAATAAGTTGCCTCGGCCGTTTGTGAGACAGTCAGCCATGGCTCTCACCTCTGACGCCTTTACCACCCTGTTCCACACACTCACCTGACTGATGTCTCCTCTCAAGATCTGGCAGTGATATAAACTTAGTCTAAGATAACGGACGAATATTCTTGTTCCCAGAATTCATTTGCTTGAGAAATATTGACTTACGCCTCTAAAATAACACAACAGAAAAATAAATCGTTGGAATGGGAGATTTTTATAAAACTGGTTAGTGTAATGATGTTTGATATACTAAAGGAGCGAGTATAAGCACCTCCTCGGGTAAAAAGCCGGCTGAGAGAGCATCTTGTTCCTGGCCGATGATGAGACTCCCGTTCAGGTAGAACGTCCCCTCCTCCACCTCCCCGCTGGCATGTTTCTGCAAAACGGACGCTGTTTCACACACACACACACACACACACATCCACATAAAATATTAAAACTTTAAAGTGAAACCTCTATTTAACGGATTATGTGGAGAGGAAAGTCCATTACAATTCTAGAGTCCATTAGATGTGAAACCTCCATCTAACGAACTGTATAGAGATGAAAGTCCGTTATATCGAGGGTCCGTTATATATGAAATACCCATCTTACGAATTATACAGAGAGAGAGAAGTCCGTTGTATTGTTAGTTCACTGTACTTCCGTTTCCTTATTATAGACTAAGTAAGATTACCGAGCTTATTTTTGAAGGACAGCTCATTTCCGTGGCCACATTACACCAACCACACAACAGATATCAGTTTTATGTTTGTTTCCTGGCACTTTCCTCCAATTTATTTATTTATTCGGGGCTACTATAGTACACGGTTTACAGAGATGGAGTTGGTCTACCGGGATATTTACACTGTAGCATGTATTAACCCAACCCAACCCAACTCAACCTAACCTAACCTAACCGAACCTAACCTAACCTAACTAAACTTAACATTAACCTAACCTAACATAACATAACCTAACCTAACTTTACCTAAACTATTTTAACATAACCTAGCTTAACCTAACCTAACCTAATCTAACCTAGGTTAGGTTAGGTTAATGGATGTTACAGCGTAAATATCCCAGTAGAGACAACTTCAGCACACTGCACTAGCACACTTATTCTTATATATTTTGCCAAATCTTACCCAGGTTGAGAATATATTGTTATGAGAAGAGATGGAGGCGAAGGAAGACTTTATGTGTGTGTGTGTGTGTGTGTGTGTGTGTGTGTGTGTGCGCGCACACTGGTCCTGCTGGGACCCAAGCCAAGGTGTATATAGCAGGAAGACCTCTGCTTACCAGCCATCTCCACTCTCTCCTTGAGAATATATGGTAGAAGGAGGAAATCCCCTAGATCTTAAAGACGTTTCCATCGTCAATTATTTATAAGAACAAGGGAAACAGGTCAGACAGTGACAACTACCGCGGAATCGCAGCTGTCCATAGCTGGCAAGATTATCGCTCGAGCCGTCCTAAACAGACTTCTTAAGGCGGAAAACTCCTTCCTAGTATCTCAATTTGGCTTTAGACCATTACGTGGCACCACTGACATGATCTTTGCTGCCCGCCAGATACAAAGGAAAAGTGCAGAGAATAGCGTCATGGCTTGTACATGGCCTTCATCAACCTTATAGTCAAAAGCCTTCGACTCGGTCATCAGGGAAGTCCTCTGGTGGACACTCAGTCTTTTTAGTTGCCCACCGACATCCATCCCCACTTTGGAGCAACTCCACGATGGTATTACGGGCAGTGTCCTGCACAATGGCACCCAATTTGAGTTCTTCCTTACCAACTATCTTCTCTATTTTCTTGGCTGCCTTCCTTACTCGTGTCAGTGTCACTTTAGCCGGCGAGGGTGAACATCCATTACCGGATGGATGGTAGGACTACTGAACATAAGACGACTTCAGGCCACTTCCATCACTGAGCTTCAGTATGCAGACGACCTCACCCTTGTCGCTAACACTGAATGTGACCGACAGGAGATCATTAACACCGACGCAAATGCGTGTGAACACTTAGCTCTTGAGATGAATGTGCATAAGACGCAGGTTCTCTTTCAGCCTGCCCCTGGTTCAACCACAGCTCCACTATCCATCCAGGTTAATGGTACTACCCTCTCTAATGTTACCCACTTTCAGTATCTTGGCTATCACCTGTCCACCACCGGGGACATTGATGAAGAGATTCAACATCGGATTAGGTGTGTATCTCAAGCCTTTGGCAGACTACGTACATGTGTCTTCAGCTGTAGTGAGCTGAAATTATCTACACAGCAGCCTGTGTATCGGGTAGAGGTCCTCCCCACCCTGCTGTATGACGGCGAGACATGGGTCACATACAGGAGGCACCTAAAGGCACTTGAAAACTTTCACCAACGTAGTCTGTATTCCATCCTCCGAGTTTGCCGAGAAGGCAAGAGAACTAATTTTCTCGCTGACACGAACTGTAGGAACATCGAGGCTACCAATATCCATGAACAACTATGTTGAACTGGCCATGTTGCCTACATAGACGCCAGTAAACATAACGCTGGCGGGCAACTGAAAAGGTATAAGGATAGTCTTGCGACAAAGCTGAAAAAGTGCCAAATCGACCCCCCTCACCTGGGAGTCGATTTCTCCACATCGGGACGCTTGGAGGAGCACCACACAAGGAGGTGTCAATACTTTCGAGTTAGCCCGACTGTATAACGAGGAAGACAAGCGCCAACGCCGGAAAGACGCTGCAGCCGCCTCCCGCACTAGATGTAGCCCCCCACATGTGCAACTTCTGTGATCGACCCTGCCGGTCCCGTATCGGCCTCTTTAGTCACCTTAAACCTCACCAACCTAGGTGCTATCCTTAATAACTCATATCATTGTATCATAGCTAGATGGTCATCATACTCGATTCCGAGTGACAGCAAAGTAGTAGAAGTGGTAGATTGCCACGTAACACTGGTAGGCAACGGAAAAGGTAGACGGATAGGCTCAAGACAAACCTGAAAAAGTGCTAAATCGGCCCCCTTCATCTGGTAGAAAATCACTGTACACCGTAATGTTTGGAGGAGCATCATACGTGAAGGTGCCAATACTATCGAGTTAGCCCGACTGCATACCGAGGCAGACAAGCACCAGCACCAGAAAGGCGCTAACGCTGTCCCTCCCGCACTAGATGTAGCCCTCCACATGTGCAACATCTGTGAACAGCCCTGTTGGTCACGTATCGGCCTCTCGAGTCACCTCGGATCTCAAAGCTTGATGATCATCATACTCGATTCCGAGTGACAGAAAAGCAGTAGTAGCGTGTGTGTGTGTGTGTGTGTGTGTGTGTGTGTGTGTGTGTTTAAGGCAGCATTGACCTACCTCTCCCTGCCAATAGACGGTGTAGAGGGAGTCAGCCATCACGTGACACAAATGGTTCCAAGTCTCCGGGTAGATCTCCAGCTTCTTCTGAGACGCCACCACATTTCTTCTGCCTCTCAAGAAACTGTAGATGAAGGATCCCTCCGTATCTGAAACACCCCTAACTCTCTCTCATTGTCTGTATTACCATCTAGGTACACATACGCTCACACACACAACAATATTAAAGGCAATAATAAATCATACTTTCCAGTAAATCAGCCCATGCATGACTATAACAAACGTCGACTCATTATCAAAGAAGTGCCTAAAAAATGAGGTAGTGGTGGGAGCGTCAAGTGCCAGTACTTACAGAACAAGATGTAGTTAGACTCGGTGTCGCTGATGGCGTAGGACAAGTGAACCACCAGGGGTACAAAGCTCTCAAGTCTGTGGAGAGAGAAAACACCTGACTCGTGGCACCTGAAACACACACACACACACACTCCTGGCACACACACACACACTCCTGGCACACACACATACTCCTGGCACACACACACACTCCTGGCACACACACATACTCCTGGCACACACACACACTCCTGACCCACCTGAAGCACACACAGCTGACACACCTGAAACACACATACCTGACACAACTGAAACAAGCACACACCTGCCACACCTGAAGCACACACACAAACCCCTGACACACCTGAAGCACACACACACATGCCACACCTGACACACAAACACACTCCTGACCCACTTGAAACACACACACCTGACACACCTGAAACAAGCACACACCTGGTACCTGAAACACACACACACGCTCCTGACATACCTGAAGCACACACCTGGCACATCTGAAACAAGCACACACCTGACACACATGAAACACACACACCTGACAAACCTGAAACAAGCACACACCTGGCACCTGAAACACACGCACACACACACACATACACACACATACACACACACCTGACACGCGTGAAATACACCTGGCACCTGAAACAAGCACACCCCAGACACACCTGAAACACACACAAACATCTGAATCACACACACACACTTGACATCTGAAACACACCTGGCACCTGAAACACACACACACTTCTGACACAACTGAAGCACACACACCTGACACATCTGAAACAAACACACACCTGACATACATGAAACACACTTGGCATCAGAAACATACACTCCTGACACATCTGAAGTAGACACACTTGACATCTGAAACAATTACACACCTGACACCTGAAACATACACACCTGACACATCTGAAACAAGCATACACCTAATACATCTGAAACAAGCATACACCTGATACACCTGAAACATACCTGGCACCTGAAACACACACACACACACACACTCCTGACACACCTGAAGCACACACACACCTGACACACCTGAAACAAGCACACACCTGCCACACCTGAAACAAGCACACACCTGACACCCCTGAAACACACACACCTGACATACCTGAAACACATCTGGCACCCGAAACACACTCACACTCACACACACACACACAC